TCATCAGAATTCAACTTTGCTGATTAAACATCTTCAGGAATTTGGTTGTTCTACATCAAAATTAGAACAGTAGGTAAAGGTCATCAGGAGCCACACTTCTATTCATTAAACTTCAGGGTTTTTTTTCCTCTCCCTCCCCTTTTCTTTGCCAGACTAGGCACACACCTGAAGCAACTAAGCATACAAATTTGGTAGTTCAGCCTCCCCTGCCTCATTTGCATCCGGTGATTCATTTGTGTGTGTAGATAAGGTCAATGCCAATTGAAACCTCTGCCTTTGAAAAAAAAAACAAACCCACAACTTTGCCCCATCTACCATTCAGCATGATCATTTCTCAGGCAAAATTAGGGACAACACTACCTAAGAGAGGTTTGGTTTTGTTTTTTGTTTTTTTTTTTTTCCTACTATAGCAAAGACAAAATGAATAGCAAAGACAAAATGAATAGCAATCCCTTCGGGTTTGAACACAAAGAGGTTTTTTTTGGGGTAGGGCTTTATGCAAAATGCACAATACTTTTCCAACCGGGTGTGTGTGTGTGTGCAGGGGACTCTGAAATAGCTTTTATTTATCAGCCCTGCAGGCATGTTGCTTATTCTGCCAAGCTCTCGGGAAGGTTTAAGGGCACAGAAAAAATTTATGGGGAAAAAAAAAAACAACAACACAAACCCACCACCTTCATTTTGTTTACCTAAGTAACTTGACTGACGTTTTTAAGTGATATTGTACTCTCAGTAGCTATTGCCTTCGTTTTAAAGAACTTAGCTACATTACTTGGAAGATCGTATTTCTAACACTGTAAAACGCTTGATGGTAGGTAATTACAACACGTTCTCAGAATAACTCTAATACTGCACGTACTGCATCACAAATGACAACCAGCAATTAAACCCATTACTGCTTTTCATCAAACCAACCAGAAAAAAAAAAAAAAAAGCACTTAACTATTGGCCTGGGTGTATCTAAAACTGATAGTAAGTATGAATTCTGCTTACTCAAACAATAGTTCTCCATCCTTGACAGCTTCTATTTGTTGTTGGTTTTTTTTTTTTTTTTAATATGCAAGAAGTGCAAAACATTTCCTTTAGGAGGCTCTTAAGGGACACACATGGCAGATCCCCTCCCATCAAACAACAAAAAAATGTGCATTTCACATGGCTGGGATGGAGGCACCTCTTGTGTGAGCGGACACATGCCAACAGTGGGGACTTTGGGTAAAAAGGCAGCTGAGCAGGGAGGCTGGATGAACTTTTTTATCGGCAGATCATAGAGGTAACAAGTTTGGCACCTCTTACATAGAAGAAAGACTGACCCGGATGAATGGGAAGCAGAAAATACTCCCAAATACTCAAAGTGTCATGAAGAACTGGGAATAATGCTGCCTGGGAAGGAGATGAAACTGTAATTTAGGAGTCAGGCAAAGGAGAGAGAGAGAAATATCAATGTTAAGAAAAGACAGCAACTAGCAATCTAGAGATTCCTTGCATTTAATTTACATTATTTTTTTGAAAAAACAATTTACTCAACGATTTGCATGTGGTGCAGGCCCAGTTTGATTTTCAGAGTGAATCGCAAGACCCAATTAAAACCAATTATCTGGTTATGTATCAAGGGGGATGACTTTCACAATGAGGAATGGATTGCAGTGATAAACTGCACAGCCCTGTAAAATAAAACGAAGAACGATTCTAGACTAAAGACACGTCTCCACCTTTTGTAAAGATGTAGCAGAAGAGGATGGTTTTATTTCCTGCCTTTTAATATTATAAAACTTTCAAACTGTTGAAATTTTCCTACCCTGTGTAGCAGTTTTGATGTTCTGTGCTGTGATCTCTCCACCCTCTGGCCATCCACCAGACCACAGCTCTCCGTGGCCGTCACTCATCCTCTGCCAAAACCAGCAGAATAGTGACTTTCTTCCGAGAGCTCTGGAGACCTATTAGAAGAGAGCTAAATCTGATGCTTCCCAATATTTCTCCCTTCTTCTTGTATTTAGCGTTATTTCTAGAAGGTCTCCAATTTCTCCTCTGTATGCAGACCAATGAGGTCTTGCGTGCACTGAACTAGCTACGTGGCTCAGGACTAAAAATTATCAACTTGGGTATCTCCAAAACCAAGGAACAGACAATTTTTGAGGGATCTGCACTTGTTTAGCAATGTTATTTGACCTTATGAAATTTTTTTTTTTTTTTAAACTTTGAAAACGCTCACTCTCTTACTGTTACTGCAGAAATAATGAGTTTACTGAAAAGAGTCACCAAAAATTATTTAAGCCACTAAAAGCTTCAGTCAGAACCTGATCAACATTATGTTTTACAATATACACAGCATTGCCAGTACAGTGCTTTCTCTGTAGGCTTTTTATCCTATGATAAATCAACTGGGGCAGCCAAAATAAAACCTCAATAAAAAGAAGTGCTTTTGTGTTCAGAGGCATTATCACATCATTTAGCATCCCTGGTACTACTCCTTTAGTTTTAAGTATTACTGTGAAGATTGGTTCTTAAGTCACAATAAAGACTAGACAAAAAGAGATGCCGTTTGCTTCTGCTGTTTTGTAACATCTGTTTTAATATTCCACAGCAAACCCAAAAAACCCCAGAAACCAACCAATGTGATGGTACAGACAGAACTAAAGCAATGGCCTTAACTGGTCCTACTGGGCTCCTGAAATCTCAAGTTGCCACTATCATGAGCAGCAATTGCACCTAGAAGTCCATTTCAAAAGTGAAATTCCGGGTGACATGTCACTGTCTGGATTTTCTCCGGGAACAAAACTATTTACTAGTGTCCATACACTCAAATAAACATGCATAACACTTAGAGAAGCTGTGATTCACTAGAGTCCACCTCGATAAAAACGCAGCTTCGTGCTCTCCTTTTTGTGCCTTTCCCTGAGTGCAGAAGCACTCAACCATCCATAAAACCCACACCACAAAATAGCCATTCATCTGCAGATGACAAACTACTGAACTGACGTGTGGAGTAAGAGTTATCTCCAATTTACAGAGAAGGAAGCAGAGGCAGAAGTGATTAAATGGTGTCACACACGTGATCTGAGACCAGTTCTACTGGGCATTGCTCCTACCACATGGGGGTGAGGGCACCAACTGCGTGGTGCAATTCTTACCTCTCCCGGTCCCTCCTTCTTGGGCTGCTTAGTGCTAGGTGTGATTGCACCCACCTTCCCCAAGCTCTACACCAATCCATGGAGATAAGGACTGCTAACGTTAAAGAGCCTGGCTCCTGTCCCTCCCAATTGCCCAGAAATGGTTATAACAGCCCATCATCTCCCAGTGGCCTGGCACACCTGGGATGTGGTCAAATGGGAAAAAAACCACCACAACTGCACATTCATCAAGTTCTGCAAGGCACCAGAATACTTTGTTGTTTGAGCTGAGCGTGAGCAAAAGGTATCAGACAAAAGTCAATGATCTTGGACCCTATGAATTGCGACCACAAGGGAGACCCTTAGAGCTCTCCTGGATCGCAGTGGGTCTGTGACCAGCACCTCCCCTGAGCTGGGACACCTCTCGGGTACCAAAACCCTTAAGGGTTTGATACGGATTTGGTTTTAAGCCAGAGCTGAGGGAAGGCCAGGGCGGAGCCAACTCCCTGGAGTCTCAATTATCACCTGTTGAGGAATGCGAAGGCATCGTGAGTATTTACTCTAAACTAGCTAGGTTCTCTCTCACCAGCTCTTTCTCTGCTTACTGGTGTGTGGGTACGTACTTCATTCTCCTGGATCCAAATACTTTTGTCTGTGTGTGTGTGTTTGTACATTTTGTGTTCATTCTATTGGGTCCAAATACCTTCGTTTCTGTGTGTGTGTTTGTACGGTTTGTGTTTGTGTGTGTGCATGTACATATGCATAAATTAAGATACCACGGAATAAGTTAGTGTGAATCTTCTCATCCTAGAATCTGTAAGTCACTACTTTATAACATCTTCTAAATTATTTTGTAAATAATCAATTGCTGTTATTTATGAATAAATCTAAAATTCCTGTTAAACCATTACCGTGTTAATACTTTCATCCGCGACACCAACCCTGTGCAAAGAGGCTCCCAGCGTTGCATTCAGGTTTCAGACATGGTCTCCAGAAAGAATATTCCCATTTTCAAAGCCAGCAGAAGAACCTGACTTCAAGGAAAGCAATGATGAGGAGAAAGCTGCTTGAAGCTTGCATGAGGCATTCAAACCATCTTGTGCTGGATGTAGTCCTCAGAGTTGACTAAATCACCCAAGTATGAGTAGGCAGCAGAGCTCTTGCTACCAGGCTACAGAAAGACCCTCATTGCTCAACTAAGCTGTCACCAAGCTGTTGCGCCTCCCAGAAGAAATCAATTTCGAAAAAAAGAACAACCTGGAGAGACAAAGTTACAATAAAATGGAAAATCCGGACCTTAGTGACAGCAGGAATTTATGACTTCGAGTTCTGTTCCCCCTATTCCAAACCTGCACTGAATTTACGACTGTTCAACTCGATGCTTCATCTGCGAAACGGCTTCGTCCCTGGCAGTCACATAACCAGGATTTTCATGTACAGAGCGATTTCACACTGAGGTGTTAATGAATTGATGACTCTGAGAAGCTTGGAAGTTATCAGACAAAAGGAGCTACAGAAGTGCTTAGCAGTGGTATTACACAGTGTGCAATTACTGCTAATCTATCTGGTATTCAAGACACCTGGGACCCAAAATAACCAAAATAAAGGCCACTTTCTTTCCTGCAAATTTTACTTAAATGGCTATTCTGCAGATCTCTAAACACTAGCAGAATTTAAAATTAAATGCCTCAGGAATATTCCACCAAAAAACTATTCTGTGTGTGATCTGGTGTCTGAAAAACATGTTCTTCCACGGGCTGACTTCCCTGTAAGGCGCGTCCAACGGTGTGACAAGGACTTTCCTTTTGCCTTTGGGGCAGCATGAAAACCCTGCAAGTGGTTGTGCCGCCACATCTCGTGTGTCTGGACCAAAGAACCTGGTCTATAAATGAGGGTCCCTCACTGTAATACCCATGACAGGATTTATCAGAATGGGAAAATGCAGATTATTGGTGGAGTAACTTCTAAACTGTTATTTTTAGTTCTGCCTAGAAAAGAGGGTAACAGTTGAAATAAGCATTTCAGATTTCACGTTTTGAAATCACAGATGGAATTTAAATACTCTGAAAATATATTTTTTCCCTTTTAGTATTCGTGAAGGAGACTGAAATTCACCTCTGTACTCCGACTGGGATAACAGCTATAGTTTCCCCAAATTACACAATTCTAAATTGTTCATAAGGTTTTAAATAGCTTTGAAAATACCTAGCAAGGATAATCTAGATAAAATACAAAGCAGAGAGCTCCAACATGAGTGGTCCAGCACTAAGGGAACTCTGGTTTACTACCAAAGGCTTTTCCCAGAAGACCTTTTAGCTAAACAACACATTTATGTAGAAATAATAACGATAAAAAAATTAAAACTCTTTCCTTGAATATGCATGTTCCTCTAATTGCTCTATGGGGAAAACGGGGTCCAAAGAGCATTGTCAGTCTAGTCTTTATATCTTCACTTTTAACAGCAAATAAAAAAAATGGAATTATAGAACCACGGAATACCAGGCTGGAAGGGATCTCAAGGATCGTCCGGTCCAACCTGCCTTGGCAAAAGCACAGTCTAGACAAGATGGCCCAGCCCCCTGTGCAGCTCAATCTTAAAAGTGTCCAGAGTTGGGGAATCCACCACTTCCCCGGGGAGATTATTCCAGTGGCTGCTTTTTCTCATTGTGAGAAATTTTCCTCTTGTGTCCAGTCGGAAGCTCCCCAGGAGTAACTAGTACCCATCACCCCTCCTCTTTTCCACGCGACTCCTTGTAAGAAGGGAGTCTCCATCTTCTCTGTAGCCTCCCCTTAAATACTGGAACAAGGTGATAAGGTCTCCCCTAAGATTCTCTTCTCAAGGCTGAACAAACCCAAGTCTCTTGGCCTTTCCCTACATGATAGGCTTCCCAGGCCCTTGATCACCTTTGTGACTCTAAAGACGGACCTTTTTTATTTTCATCAAGAAAACAGGTCTCCTATATTTCAACTGAAAACTCGAAAAGCTTTATGAAAGTAACCACGTGCACTGCCCAGAATTTTTCAGGGCCATAATACTGTAACTTGGACTTAAGCCACACTGAGTTTTCATCCTTGGATTTCCCCTATTATATTCAGGGAAACCCCTCACTAATGTATTTTCCGAACAGCTTCCATAGATAGATTACAAACTTAGAATTTGTCAAGATTTTTCCTTTTTCTTCCACAACAAAAATGAAGGATGCTTTTCTATTTTTGTCTTGTGAGTTTTTCCGCTCCTTTACAGATATTTTTTTTTTTCAGCATCACAGTAGTACTTGCTATATTTGAAATGAAAGCTGGTGCTATTAAAGCAAGTAACTGCTGTGGAAGTTCATTCCCCAATGCCAAATGAGCTGCTAGAAAGGCACTAGCTCCTGCATGGCAGAATCTCACCTTGTGACTGAAGAGATTTATAGTGTCTGATAAGCCAAAGCATTCAATATGCATCTCAGGGTGCAACTTGGGTTTCCTAAAGCGCTCTGAGACTAAGCCATTTTGTACTGGAGATGGTTAAATTAAATAAATGGATCCATTCTTCCCTTTCAGCTTTGCTAAATACTTTTCTGACCAGCAGGTTTTTAAGTACCACAACACTCATGCTTCTGGTGGGAGCGGGGAGAAAGGAAATGAAACAGGAAAAAGAAAAATTAAAATCTGCAAACTTCCATGGATGGAAGACTCGTTTCAATCATATCTGATCTCTCATTTCATGAACATAACACCTACAAATATTGCAGAGCGTTCTGTATAACAGATCAATATATAATTAGTAAAATAAAGAAAAATACAAATTAAAAAAAGTGAAGATTTTTGTGATGCTTCAACTACACCAGCTCCTTTCCTTCGGTCTCAGTTGCAATCTGAAAAGATGACCTGGTAACAAAGGCAGGTTGCTCACCATCTCTACTCGACTTCTTGCACCCATCCTGCTAACAAGGTGCCATCAGGCAACCAGAATTTACAGCCAGTTTGGGTTCACATAAGATCCGAGTTTCTTTTGAAGGCAAGCTTTGCATCTTACAAGCCCTGTCTCACCTTCCAGGTCCCTGAACCAAGTCTGCCTGGGTAAAGCACGGGCAGCAGATCAGTCAGTGAGGCTGCCTGCGAGTTTTCTGCTGGAGAGGTTGTGTGGATTAATGGAAAAAGTAACTGGTTTTCCTTTTTTTTTTTTTTTTTTTTTTTTTTTTTAATTTTGCCAAATAAATTTGTAGACATCATATGAATACTTACAGGCAAGAAACTTCAACTGAGCACACCCTTGTAAAACCGTAAAATTACCTCCATGTTAGCTATCAGACACAGTTTTTCATGGAAACAGAGCTAAAAGAAAGCCAAAGAATTTCACGTATATTATTCTCTTAAGGAAAACTTTTTTTTTTTTTTTTTAAAGTGTTTGGTCCTGGAAAATGTGCTAGTGGAGTTGACTTTCTCAGGCTTTGGCTTTTGGGTAAGGAAACACTCTTGACGTAAAAATTATTTGGTCCAGTGACATGATGTGAGAAATGTAAGTGGAATTCCCCAGACTAGACCTGGCATGGGACGAGCCCTACTAAAATGAATTTCCTTCAGTTTATCCTCTTCCTTCTTAGGACTGCTCCACGGATTTGCTGGCATCTGTAAGACCCTGGGAAGACCAGAGTAGCTCCTTGTGGTCGGTTGACCTTGGCCATCTGCTAGACCCGCACCCAGCTGCTCTCTCACTCCCCCTCTTTAACAGGACAGGGGGTAGAAAATTAGATGGAAAAGCTTGTAGGTTGAGAAAAAGACATGGAGATCACTTACCAATTACCGTCATGGGCAGAATAAATGCAATGATTTTATTTTTTTTCATTAAAATATTTAAAAGAATTAGTAATAACTTGATAATCTGGTCTATAAATCCAGATTTTTATAACTCTATTGGAATTTCACCAGAAGCATACTAACAATTGTTCTATTTTGATCAGACTTAGTAAAACACCAGATAGATTAACAATAATTTCACAGGTCCATATACAAGATGTGCTGGCTTTTATCCATGTTAAAATCAAAAAATCAAAAATAAGCCTCTTCCAGTCCAACATCAACTCCTTTAACTGCAGGAAAACCCATGATTGTTCTTCGTGCAGTATGAAATCAGCACTTTTTGCAAACTTCTTAACTCACATCCACCAGCCATGTTCACCATCTCTTTGGGAAAGAACCAGAGGAGATGACCTACCCAAAGTTTACCGGTGTATCTAAAGACTTGCTGTTGTTCCTGCTGTATTTAGTGCTGGCGCAGCCTCACCTTGAATACTGTGTGCAGTTCTGGGCCGTACGAGTTAAGAAGGATGTGAACATCCTTGAATGCATCAGACAAGTGTAACAAAGCTGGTGGAGAGGGTGGAAGGAATGTCCTATAAGGAGTGGCTGAGGACTTTGGGTTTGTCTAGTTTGGAGAAAAGGAGGCTGAGGGGTGACCACGTGGCTCTCTACGGCTTCCTGAGGAGGGGATGTGGAGAAGGAGGTGCTGAGCTCTTCTCCCTGGGATAGTGACAGGACACATGGGAATGGTTCAAGGCTGCACCAGGGAGGTTTAGACTGGACGTTAGGAAGCATTTCTTCACCAAAAGTTGGTCAAACACTGGAAGAGGCTTCCTAGAGAGGTGGCCCATGCCCCAAGCCTGCCAGTGTCTAAGAGACATTTGGACAATGCCCTTAACAACAAACTTTAATCTTTAGTCAGCCCTGAAGGGTCAGGCAGCTGGACTAGACGATCATTGTGGGTCCCTTCCAACTGAATTATTCTACTAGGACATGACTCCAGCCTTGTGATGCAATATTCACAAGGAATAAGTAAGTCACTGAAAACTCGTATGATTTCATCCACTTTTACTTACAGTATAATAAAAATAATAGTGTTCAGTAATATGGGGAACCTTAATCCTGGTCCATGAGCACTTGAGTTAAATGCTAGAACTAAACTTAAGCAGCGCTTCCATTAAGAAATGAGCTAAAACTACTCTGTTGGCTTGACGAGCATAATATGGCTTGGAAGTAATTCATTAACATGGAATTGAATTAACACTGCTTTCAGCTATTCAGCCTAAGTTCTTGCAAATGTCAAAATTTCTATGTTCCTTCAGGTTGTATTTCATCTGAAGGAAAGGAGGAGCTGGAGACATGTGAAATTTCTGACAGGCTGTTGATTTTCCGTATGGATGAAGCATGTTTGAAAACTCAAAACTTGACTGATCTGCTGAAGCACATTCTCTGACAGACAATATAAAATCAATGCATCACATATTAAGAGGTTTTTTGGCGTGTAAGAGTTTTTGTTTGTGTGGGAGGTAGCGGGGGGATTGCTTTATTTTCTGTCATCGAAAATGAACAGCCTTACCTTAAGGTTTTTATAAACTGTCATCTTTAATCAGACACACACAGTAAGACTGTCAGTCCTCATAAAGCATCGGGGGGAAAAAAAAAAAAAAAGCACGAAATATGAAGCTGTTCCCCATCCCATTCCTGTGCGTGTGCCCCGCTTCTGCAATGGCCTCAGTCAGAACTAAACCTTTTCTTAGCAGTGTCACAACAACAAGCTTTTCTGAAATGTGTCTTTATAATTCAGCGACAGAGACTTTATGAGAGCTTGTCAAAAAGAAAAGAGTTAGGATTCGCCTGCAAGAAACATTCATTCCCGCTGTTGACAGATATAAAGTACTAAATGTCAACAGCAAGGGACTCGTCAACTAAATGTCTTCTAAACACTCATTAAACCAGGGGGAGAAAAAAATTCGGTAGGTGGGTGTCAAATTGCTCCCTTAAGATTTCGATTCAGGTCAATTGAAGTAAACAGCGAGTGTATGAGAAGTTGCATCAAGCATCTGTCACGCTGAAGGACGAGCATTAACGATTCCAAAATAAAGATGCCAGTATTAAGCATCACGGTGAGTACCGGCACCGTAACGAGAACCAGGCGTCGAGATTTCCTGATCCGAGCCCCGTTTGTTTCCCCGCACGGCAGAGGCACCACCTCCCTCCCTCCAGAGCCTCCCCCTCCCAAGGGAAGATACTGCCTGCCTTGCAAAAGCAAGGTTTAGATTAACTAAGTGATATTTTTTGCCTCTCTTTGAAGATAAGGGATATGTCTGAATGTGAGACTGAAAAACCAGTATTCATGGAATTTGGGTGGTTATATTTTTAGGGGGGCACTGACTTTAGAAGTTTGTAACTAGTGTTTTCCTGTGTACGTAACAGCATCTCGGACTTTTTTTTTTTTTTTTTTTTTTTAACTGAACTCCTTCTCCTCTGAATATTATTCAGTCTGAAACACAAACTTTAAGCAGTCAATAGTATAAGTTCCCTTTCCCAACTCAAGTCGGTTTTATTGATTTCTCTAAGATCAAGTATTTTAGGTTTGATTTCAGAAAGCTAGAGACATCAGCCTTCATTATTTAGCACTGTCTGTGCCCTAAGATTATTTGACATTTTTTATTTACTTTAATAATAATATATACCCCTTTGATTCATAAAATACCACCTATTGTTCTTAACCTACTTAATAACATTTAACATAGTCTAGGCCTACTATATGTAACAAATGAACTAATCGACTTTTCACACTCCTTTTGCTTCCCAAATAACACATATTATCAAATAGTCATTTTAGAGCACACAACCACAAGATAATACAGTGTGTTTTAAAATCAGATTAGTTGTTCATTATTACAGCTGTACAAATAAAAGGGATTATCAGCGAGGTACACCCGGGCTCTGAGTTATCCACACAGTTTAGTCTCAGTCACAGTTAGGGGTTATGAACACTGTTCAGCTGCACCATCAGCCGATGCCCACAATGACCAAAGGACTTAGATGCCCCAAAGGAACCAATGACAACTTGGCCATCCCCTTCCAATTTCCCAATTTTTCCAAATAAACAGAAGATTTAAATACTACATACAGTACCTTTTACCTTGACATATCCTGAATTAAACAGAATTATTCCCAAAGCAGGGAAAACTAAACCATCACTGCTAAAACGTACGTACCCACGTGTATGTACAGATTCTGTCCATTGTGTACCTCCCCCAAGGACAGGTTACTGGTGGAGTTTGAAACGTGACCTTCAGCAGAGCTGATTGCTACCACTTGGTGAGGAACATGCTGGTATCAATAGGCAGCACAAGGAAATTACTATCCTCCTTGATTATTCCCTAAAGCATTTATTTTATTTATTGAAAGTGCAATCACTCTTTTATTAGCACTAACATAACTGGAAGAAACAGGAAATTCCAAAAATGTTATCAAGTAAAAAGCTACTGCTTTAAATGACGGAGACCAGTATAAATGAGCATAATCATTTAACTGTTAATTTAAAATGTCAAATTACTACCTGATCTCTTCCCCCTACTCTGATCAATCTGAAATACCAAGAACAAGCCAACTTTGCAGTGCCTTGGACCACGCACACACCTGAGCGTTACGCTTTAGTCTTCACATCTCAAACACCATCAGCACAGTCAAATCAGTAATTTTGCCTTTCCTTCTTTCTTTTTTTTTTTTTTTTTTTTCTTTTCTTCTTTCTGGTACTTTAATAAATTAACACTTTGTTTTTCACTTTCCAGACTTTGAAATCAGAGGCAGCGGTTAGTGGCACGGTGCAGTCCTTCCCACCTGGCAAAGGGAAGATCCCCCCCGGACAGACACTGCCCATTCGACAGGGAGGTGGAGCGTGCCCAGTCCATTTACCCTCTCCAGTCCACTTCTTCACAAGGACACAATTTTGCTCAAAAAGCGACTGCTTCTTCCAAATCAATGAACATTTTACATTCTCTTCCATCCTACAACCCTTTTAATTGCTCCTTGATCTTAATGAAGTGTGGCTGATATTAATAAATGGATGCCCCCGCGGCCTTCTTGCCCAATATCCAAACAACGTTCAACTGAGCGAGCATCAGCGGGGCTTTCATGATTCCAAACACCATCATCCCCTCCATCTCCAGTCCCTCCTGTCCCTCCCCCTGAAGCTTCAAGACTGCAGACATCTGTTCTTCAATTGTCTGGTAATAAACATACTCTATAAAGCATATGTAAAATGATTATTACCCTGAAGAGCCAAGTGCCTTTCAAA